GGTTCCCAAACATTTCAAATACAAGAATTTGCAATTGCAAGAAGTACCTCCAAACCATATTGTTGTGGACTCGAACATGCTCATCATTGTCTATTTGAATTGCGCCATGCGTTCCCCAAGCGAATGTAAAACACTGTGCTCGGAAGGTTTTTGCAACATCTTCTGTTCAAGTGGGATGCATCATTGTAAAGATTTGGAAAGAGTACCTCCGAGTCCGAGCAAGTGGCTGCAAATCCAAAATTTTGACACGCACCCCCGAAAAAAAACCATCACCCTGTGACTGCGCATTGTTTCACCGCTTGCGGATGTCCCCTTCCTTTCAACCAGAAGATATTGTTGCCACCAACACAAGCCGTTCAAAGTAGACAAGGTGCGCTGACCACATCAAATAGAAGATAACAGCAAATTGGTCAAACAGCAGTTCGCATGGTCGAGCAAAGCTGGTGGATTCAGTTTCAGCAAATGGCACGTCTCAGCTTCTGGCGGCAAAATGCAAAGAGGATGGGTTTCGCCTGTAGTAAGTGCTGACTACACTGAACTTTACGTAGTGAGGACTGCTAATAATATTTGCTCATATGCTCCACGAAAATGAAACCCCGAAAAATTGTGCGATTCAATTGGAAGATGAGCCTAGACACGCCGGCTAAACCATTCAAAGTTGATCGAACCGATTTGAACCTTGCTTGACCCTAGCGCTAAAAAGAACCAAAAAACAATTTGTGCCCTACTTGGCCTTGTAGAGCGCCGAAATGCACCGAAAAGGCCCCACTCGCCGGTGCCTGAAGGCACCCTCCCCTCCGCCTTGGCGCTGCCCTTGGCGTTGCCCTTGGCAGCCCTGAAATCCGGCTTACCGAGCTGTTTGGTTCTCTCTTGAACTGCCTGAAATCCACACCTGTTGCGGCGACCTTCGTTGGGGGCTGTCTGATTGCTTCGCTTTCGGCAAAGCAAGTAAACCTGCGCAGAGCCATTTGCACAGAGTCGGTTGAGAGTCCCTTGCGCAGACCATCTGCGTTTCGTAGACGCTGTCTCATCTGCACGTGAGTTCAGAAACTAGATCTGCTGGCTCAGTTTGTGCACTTTGCTACTGCTCGGTTCGTGCTGAATTGGCGCCCCCGCTCTGCACGCTCAGGCGACGCTCTGCTTTGGAGGCTCATACTTCGTTCGTGCTCAGTTTCGCACTCGGCTTGCGCTCGGTTCATGCTGGGAGGCTCATGCTCTGGACCTGTCCTGTCAGTTTGGCCTTTGCCTTGCTGAGTCACTTCGCCATTGTAATACATGCCCCCTCTTCCCCTCTTCCTTCCACTTGATTGAGCAATATTTCCTGGGACAAAACATGCTACGGATAGGCTAATACGAGGGCCACTTCAGTCATCCAGATGGGCCTTGCTCTTCCCCAAGCACAAACGTGTCAAAAACACAAGTTCCACACAGCGATTTCAAAGGCAACGTTGACGTTGAGCTTCAAAAGTGAATCGGCGCAGTTCAAACTTGTTGCGCACACGCTAGGTTTTCAGTCGGTAAGCCCTGAGAAAGTTCTGGACAAGAGGTCTGCGAAAGCGTGTTCATGATAGAGCGCGTTGTTGCGCAAAGAAATGATTGGTGGTTCAGCCGAAATCTGGTGTGTAACACAGAAAACGCTGCGATCCGGCCACCAGCCCTCAGCCCCTCCCTCGCTATGACAACCTTTATGGAAACTGATTGTTTCCATCCATGCCCTGGCCGCGCGTAGCAACTCAGAACGCCACCGCGACGAATCGTGAATCTCAGAAACCCTGTAACGAAATGACTTCGTTGGAGCGAGTGAGTGCGTGAGTGAGTGAGGGAGAGTGAGAGTGAGAGTGAGAGTGAGAGTGAGAGTGGGAGTGAGATTGAGATTGAGAGAGTGAGCGAGTGGGAGAGTGAGAGTAAGAGGGTGGGAGAGTGAGAGACTGAGAGAGTGAGTGAGTGTGAATGTGAGTGTGAGTGCGCGTGTGAGTGTGAGGGTGAGTGGGTGTGGAGTGTGGAGTGAGTGGAGCAAGTGAGGGAGTGAGTGAGAAATTTGTGGGGAAAAAGGCCAAGCCCAACTTGCCCGTTTCAATCCCAAGCGGCGCTGCCGCTGCCGCCGCGAGCTCTGGCAGCGCCTTGGCCAGTTCTTTATCTACTTGCCAAGCGAGGCAAAGTGGAGACAGCCCCACAGGTTGCTTCAATAACACAGCGATAAGCGCATTGGGATGACAGCAGGGGAAGGGGGGCGTGTCATCTGGCACGCTGTTATATGCATGCACCAGGCGACGGCACGCAAGGCATGCAGATCGTGCTCATCTAGGCACGTGCATAAAAGGTCATGCACAAAGTGAATGCAAAATGCAAACGATGCAGTAGCAGGTTCCATGGCTAGCGGAAAAAAGGGATAGAACCGTCAAGGCATGACCCTTGAGAAGCTTGAGCCAAAATGGCTACGGCGCGCGCACGCGCGTGGGCGCGTGGCGCGGGCGCGCGGGCGCGCGGGCGCGCGGGCGCGCGAGTGCGCGTGCGCGCGTGTGCGTGTGCGTGTGCGTGTCCGTGTGCGTGCGCGTGCGCGTGGACGTGCGTGGGGCGTGTGGGCGTGTGGGCGTGTGTGTGTGTGTGTGTGTGTGTGTTGTGTGTGTTTGTGTGTGTGTGTGTGTGTGTGTGTGTGTTGTGTGTGTGTGTGTGTGTGCGTGCGCGTGCGTGCGTGCGTGCGTGCGTGCGTGCGTGCGTGCGTGCGTGCGTGCGTGGTGTGGGTGGGTGGGGTGGGTGGGTGTGTGTGTGTGTGTGTGGTGTGTACGTGTGCGTGTGTGTGCGCGTGGGCGTGTGTGTGTGTGTGGGTGTGGGTGTGGTGGGCGTGTGTGTGTGTGTGTGTGTGTGTGTGTGTGTGTGTGTGTGTGTGTGTGTGTGTGTGTGTGTGTGTGTGTGTTGTGTGTGTGTGTGTGTGTGTGTGTGTGTGTGTGTGTGTGTGTGTGTGTGTGTGTGTGTGTGTGTGTGTGTGTGTGTGTGTGTGTGTGTGTGTGTGTGTGTGTGTGTGTGTGTGTGTGTGTGTGTGTGTGTGTGTGTGTGTGTGTGTGTGTGTGTGTGTGTGTGTGTGTGTGTGTGTGTGTGTGTGTGTGTGTGTGTGTGTGTGTGTGTGTGTGTGTGTGTGTGTGTGTGTGTGTGTGTGTGTGTGTGTGTGTGGGTGTGGGTGTGTGGTGTGGGTGTGCGTGTGCGTGTGCGTGTGCGTGCGCGTGGGCGTGTGACGTGGGTGTGTGTGTGTGTGTGGTGTGGGTGTGGGTGTGGGTGTGGGTGTGGGTGTGGGTGTGAGTGTGGGTGTGCGTGTGCGTGTGCGTGTGCGTGTGCGTGTGCGTGTGGGTGTGTGGGTGTGTGTGCGTGTGCGTGTGGGTGTGTGGGTGTGTGTGTGTGTGTGCGTTGTGTGTCTGCGTATGGTGTATGTGTGTGTGTGTGTGTGTGTGCGTGTTGTGGTGTTGCGCGTGCGTTTATTTTTGAGGGTGCCCGTTTGAGGTGCTGGGGAAGGCTGCCCTTTCAAGCAGGCACAGACTCTTCTGTCTTTTCGCCTCCATAGCGTTATAGCAGGCCTTGCCAATGCCCCAACCTTGGTCAAACGCCCGTGGGTCACAAACGGATGGAGAGATCCCCATGAGCGTGCTTACAAGTTTGTAAATTTTTGGGGGGAGCCTTCGAGTGTAAGGGGAATACGTACAAACAGGCACCTTTCTGCAAGCCTCTTTTGAGATCCATACCAAGATACCCAGGAAGCTACGAACCATGAAAGAGCCTTGCAAGCTGAAAGGATGCCCCCCCATTCAGCCACAAGGAAGCTCACTTTCGAATTGGCCAGGATGATGCTCAAAAAGACGAACCCTGCACAGGTTGGGATGAATTGATTCTCAAGGCCTCGCAGCCGAAAAAAAATGCCACCAGTGACCGGTTGGTCAAGTGGAATCCTTTGACGAGACGTGGTTGATCCGAACCAAAACAACATCTGAGCCCCTGGCAGGTGGTGTTGAAGAGGATCTGTGGGTTCTCCCCGCTATCTGCCTTGCAAGGCTCCTGGCATGCGAAAGCCTCGAACCATAACTCATGGCAAGCCCCCCCCCCCAAAAACGACTTGACTTTTTGTGCAATTGTCGCAACTCCTCATGCGGGCCATGGTCATGGACTCTCTTGGAGGAACCCCTGAAAAAATAATTGCCCCAAAATGGCTATTAATTAGAGGGTCCATGACCATCCAGAACCCCAAATACGCGGGTCCTCTGACCTGTCTTGTCACACACATATATTGCAGTGTCCTGTTTGAGGGAGCTCCTTTGGGGGTGGCTTTAAAGGGAAACCAGGATTGGTATTCCGAGATTCCCTTAGACGTTGGCCTGGTTAATTCATAATTTTGGGCCCACAAGCGGCTGGGCACAGTTGGTCAAAGTTTCAGTGGCTGTGCCCAATGGCACCAATCCCATCTGTCCAAGGCTTGGGAAAGCGGCCTTTCATTCAGTTTCCTCTCGTCTCAAGTTTCCTTGAAGGATACATCCAAAACCAGCTTGCAGTCTTGGAGCCGCCCCACTCCAAAGCATAGAAGGATGGATATCGCTGAACACCCTGTCTAGTGGTTTGGATTGGAGGTGCTCGGACTAATCCAAACCAATTGAGTCGACCTGATTGGCGGGTTTTATCTTGTTTTCCCTTGAACATTATATGCAAAACGATCCAACAAGGAGCTTGCTGCTATGATGATACCCCGTCCTGTTAGATTCCTCTCTCTACAAGCGCCAGTTGCAACTTGAGCATTCAGCTGATGTTGCCAAACGGCCAAAGCATTGCTTGCAAGCCTGGGGCGTGCCGGGGGCCAAAACACGGCTCTTTGCTCAAGTGGCAGCCGTAACTTATCGGTTCAAATTTCGTGAACATGCCGCGCCAGACATCGGCACATCAGCACATCTTTCTCAGACCCACTTAGTGGCCTCAGTAGCGTCGATCTTCAACCAAGCGGCCTGGTGCGCTAAGGTCTCCCATTTTAGGGGTCTCTATGCTCCATTCCTTTCTGCTCCCCTTCTAAAAGCTTAAGTGTTTTGGTGGTTTAATGGAAACCCCATTAGTTGGCCAAAAGTTAAAGTCCTAACATCCCTTGGCAAAATGCACCAAAGTATATTTAGGGATTCCCCGCCAATTCTGACACATTCCAAGTGGATCTCTCGACGGGTCCTTGCGCGGATACCACTTCAGGTAGATGCGGATGCAGCTGCCTGCCAGGGAAGCTCACACTTGTTTCCCCGAAAGGGCATGGGGAAATTCTAGGCATCCTACTTTCTAAAAAACCACCCAACACCCTGGGGAAACAGCGATCGGTTTTTGAAAAGAACGATGGTTGAAAAGAATGGGGAATCAACCCCCGGAAAAATGAGGATTTGTTGACCGAACCTCAAATGTACTTGTGCAATTGGGCGTGTCTCCAGGAAAAAAATGAAACCGAACCAAAAGGGGCGAGGTGCACATTGCTGTTCCTTGACAGCAATGCCCAAAAAAACACAAATCAAAGATCGGCACACCTAACTTTGATTAGCTCGAGAAGTCACGCAACCCGCATCAGGCTTGTCAGGTCATGATGACATGGCAGCGGATTCGCGCATGCTGCCACATCAGTTGAACCAGCATAGCAATGCTAAGAACAAAGCATAACCCTTACGCTGTTCGCAAAAGAAGCGACTGTGGGGGAGGAGGAGGAGAAGAAGCAGAAGAACGGAAAGGAAAAGCATGAGGAGAGAGAGGAGAAGGATGGGAAAACCAGGAGCAGGGGACTAAAGAGGCAAAAACAACATGACTAGGGAATGGCTCACGAGGAAGGAGAAAGAAGTGATGCGGCATCAGGCATCCAGCCCATCCCAGGTAGCGTGACCTGACGGATGGCGCGTGCCTGCCATGTGATGGCAACGATTGCGGCTCCACTCGCCGATGCGGTCGCCGACCGGGCAAACTGTGTTCTGGCGGCGCACTTTGCTTGGGATGACTGGGGGGGGGGAGGGTGGGAATTGGAAGTGAAGCTTTGTGTCAAACGGGTGTGGCTCAAAATTAAACAGGAGGGGCAAACCGCAGGTTTTGGTCCATTCCACTTCCCAGGGCAACCCATTTGGGTACCAGTGTTTTGAGCCACAGCCAAATGGCACGAAAGGGGTCACTTAGCAACAGCCGGGTCTCAGATTTGGCCAGCGGACTGCAAAAAATGATATTTGTTGTGCAATCTTTGACCTCCTCAGCATATGGCTGTGGCTCAAAAACCGCAATTCCCAAATGGAATTCTGGTAAGTGGAAACATGGACCAAAACCTGCGGTTTGCCCCTCCTGTCTAATTTTGAGCCACAGCCATATCAAAAGGAAGTGTCGAGATGTGGGGCCCCGCATTAGTCGGGTGCAAAGAGGAACCTCTTGCACGCTTGATTCCTGAATACTCCAAGATACTTCAAGTCATATATTTGAACCACACACCGCTGTGAAGCATGAGTTTCTGTCTTTGTTTGAAGGGAACCGCTTTTTGATCGGCTGTTCAAAATCGGACCAGAGGGAAAGTGTGGAAATATACTAGAAGGATTTGAAAGGACACCCACAGAAAACCGCAGCAAATCTGTTGGGAGCCCAAGAAGGGGGTCTTCCAAACAGAAGATTCCGACCAAAAACCGCCCGGGGGTAAATGTGCATCTGCCGGAGTTCTAGCACATAGACTGCTCGATCTTCTCGGCAACACATCTTCCGATGTCAGTTTGTGTGTGTCAGGAAAAGTGGTCAGGTAAGTAAGATAAACCAGGCCATTTGGTTCAACCAACCCGCGCTTCTGGTACTGCTTGCACCAGATGCGTACACCCTGCGGCTGAATTAGAGGGTGTTGCCGCGCAAGTGAACCGGATACTGGAAAAGCACAATCTATCAAACACCATTGCGGCATGGTTTTACCAGGGGGTGGGTTCCAAGCTGGGCAAATCCCGACTAAACCGAAGACAACCTCTCGCGCTTCGGCTCCTTGTAGACGTCCATGTTCATCGAGATAGGCTTGCCTGGCCTAAGCGCAAATGGGAGGGTCACAGCCCAATTCTGTCTGGGGAAGGGCAGTTCCTGAGCAAGAAACATAGCGCTCCAAGGGTCCCTTTCTGCTTCAAACTGGGGGCGGGGGTGTGGCCGGTTACTTTGGGATTCACCTGAAGAGCAACACCGAAACGAAACCGCCGCTTGGCGCGTTTTCACTCCAAACGCTTCTCAAATGACAGGTGTCCCCTGAGTCCATTTGCAAGAGATAAGGGGTGGCAGAAAACACGGATTTGGTTCGGACAGCCACCGGGTCCCTAAGGTACTGCAAAGTCCCCCGCCCCCCCTGCGACACCCCCCCCCGCCCCCCCCCAAACAAAAGAACAAAGAAAAGAGCATGTGACTGTGACAACCTCCCCCTGCAATGCCAATGTCGACACACGTGAGGTGCAGATGGTCCTATGACTTGCTTCCTGAGTGGACTGGCAAATTCAAAGTCCAACTTGGCGTTGTTGTAAAACTTTCATACCCTCCATACCTTCCATGCGGTGCCTTCCATTCCCTGCCATACCTTCCATACACCTTCCATATACCTTCCATATACCTTCCATGTACCTTCCACCTTCCGCAGCTTCCATTCCGGACCAACCACACCTTCCCACAGGATGCTCCGACCAAGTTCGGTCGACTTAGCCCCTGGCAGCTGAAAGTACCAGCCATCGGACCCGGTCACTGCAACCTGGAGCACCGGCGTCCCAAAACTGGTTCAAGTCAACAGCTTGAACAGAAACGGGTTGAGGCCCAGGTCGGTGAAATCGATTCTCTTCAAAACCAACAGGGGAAAATAGAACAGTATGTTTTGTGCGCTTCTTAGGCCTTCAGCGTTCCGTCGGGGGAACTAGCCAGCCCTTGCGAGACCAACGTCGGAAATCCAGGCCTTTGCTTGATCACTTGCAGGGATTCAAGTGGCGAAAGCAACCAACACTGGCGCTAAAACATATTGTTTTCTGCAACCATGAAATGGGTTGGTCGCGCTGACCCTGCCAGAAAGAAGAAACTTGTTGCTGCCAAGTACACAAGCATCTGCCGCAAGGCTGGTTTGGTTGCGCCAAAGGGCAATCAAGATGCCGCCGCTCTTTATTGACTGATGTCAGGGGAACAGCTGGGCCCCAGTCTTTTTGTACAAAGAAACGATAGCTCGCCTTATCAAGTGACCCGTTGAGTAGGGTCTAACACCTGGGCGATGTATTACACAATTGTTGATTGATCAAGCTGCGCCCTTGCAAAAGGAAAACGCCAGTGATTTCAAAAATATACAAGACAACAAGTGCTTCGGTCTCTTGGGTTCTCGGTGGGAGCTAAGCGTTGGTCGCTTTTCTCGCCAACAGGTGCTTTCCCGTGGCAGCCAAAGTTGCACGTGAGAAGCCCGCAGCCGGGGAAAAACACCTATCCCCTAAGTTGTTTTGTTGTGGATTTTGTTGCAGACGGAATAACAGCTAAAACTATGGAGACCACTTGAAATTTACCAACACACCTGCAAATCATTGCAAACCACCGCAAATTTAATATGCCTTTCACCCATTTTGGCTCACTTCCCAAAAACAGTCACCAAAGGTTCTATTGACCACTGAAATGGTCCCAAAGCGACCAAAGTCCGAAACGGGAGCTCAGGAGGGAAGTGAGTACTGGGGTCTTCCCCTTTGCTTTGAAGCCACTCCCCGCCGTTTTTCCGCGGCTTCGGGGGGACGTCTCACCCCGCGTGGTCTCCCGCCCCCACCCCCACCGGCGGGCGAGGCGGGCGGCGGGCGACTGGGCCCCCGCGTTGTCGCGCCAGACGTTGTTCGGGGCTGCGGTCCAGAAGCCCGCGGGCTCCTGTCGGCGTTTGAGGGGAGCTGGGGGAGGGGGGGTTTGATGCCGGTGGTGGGGGTTGGGGGGGCTTGGGAGGGGTTTGGGGGGGGGGTTTGGGGGGGGATTGGTCCGGTTTGGGGGTGTTGGGGGGGGGGGTGGTGCTGAAAGGAAAGCGTTGGCTGTTGGAGGGAGGGGTCGCATGTGCGCCGTCAACGTCCAACCAATCTGAAACATGTTTCCCTCCCATTCACACAACTCCCAAAGGAGGTCATTTGACAACCTCGTCACCAAACCCTTAGGGTAACTTGACGTGCCAAAAGGACGCCCCTCAAGCCCCCAAAGGCCATGGACAGGCCTTTTGCTTGTTGGTCTCACTTGCCCAAAGGACGCGGACAAAAGAAGGTAGCCTTCTTTGAACCTTGACTCAATAAATGGTCCAAAGTTTAAAAATTCAAAAGGTCCAAAGGTCAGAGCTTAGAACAACTGAGTTGATTATATATACAATATAATATATATATATATATATATTTATAATACAAAAAAAGAAGAAAAAAAACGACACCCCTCCAAAAGCGTAAATGCGACAACGGCAGCAGCCACTTCCCGGGAAACGGAAACGGGCGCGCCGCGCCTGGTCACTCTCCAGCATGCCGCTGAGCAGAGGGATGGCACCCACCTGCAAAACGCTGAGAAAGACGGCCACAAACGTCACTCATTTCATTTTGTCCTCTTTCTTGAGTTTCTAATTTGTTTATGTCATTTGTATCTATGTTTCTTGTTCTGTGTTTTCTGTATCGTCTCTGTTTTATTTTTGTGGTTTATTCCTTTCTTTCTGTCTGTCTGCCTTTCTTTGCGGTTCTATATTTTGTTGTCTGTGTTGTTGCTTTAATTGTTCCTTTACGTTAAGCAATTCATTGTACAATACTTATGTATATTGCGTTTGTTGTTTTTATTTATTTTTCCTAGCCCTCTCTTTCTCTCTCTCTCCCTCTCTCTCTCTCTCTACCCCCCTTGTTTTGCAGGCACACATGGTAGCATGATACACGCGAGTGGAGATGCGCGTGATTCCAAACATGGGGCATCCCAACAAATAGACGGCCACCTCGTTGTTGCACTTTAACAGAGATCCCCCGTTAGGCATCGCACTAGCTGTTGCCGCTGTTCAACCCACTTCAGGCTCCCACTTGGATGTTGAAAGGGGAGCCTGAAGGAAACCCGGTGGTCCTATTTGGGTGAGTTGCATTTTTTTGGACCCCTTCTTTGGATGGTTTTAAAGAATAGGCGAGTGTTTTTGTTTCTTTATGATACCTCTTTCTTGGCTGGGTTTAACGTGAACCAGCAGGAAACCAACCGTTTTGAGGGGTCCCCCCAAAAACAGGACCCGCCCATGTTGTGCTTGTTTGAATCACTGGAGCCAACCAGCTCAAGGTCGGCTCGACTCTGGGCTGTGCCACCGCGAGGTTCCCTTCCAGCACGTTGTGCCTGAGAGATCACCGGTTCTTTTTGCAGGTTCTTTAGGGAAACGGCAGCATTTTGACAGGGGTCATTCTCTTGGCTGATTGTTGGGTTATCAAGGCAGCAAATGGGGGTGTTTCCCTCTAACCTCCGTGACTTTGATGAAGGCAAAAGAATGGGCCGGTTTGACGCGGCAAAACCCGGTCCCGGTCAAAATGCTACAAAAAGACGGATTCACATGGATTTGTTCCGTGTAGGAATCCTGATCCTGGTTGCAAAATTCTCTAATAGGTCAATGACCGTCCCCAGCAACCCAATAAACCTGAATACCCAGAAAATGGGGCCTTCAAAAAACCACTTAGCAGATTACAAACCTTCCACTTACGCCTCCACATGGAGAATCCTTTTGACCTAAAATGCAATTGGCTCACTTGCACCCCGTTGCATCGATCGTCACATGCCCAAGTTTGCGCCATGACGTGCCAACTCTCCCAGTTCAAAGACCCTCCTGAAAGTCTGCGCCAGGACCGAATCCCCCCGATTCATCACAACCCCTGAAGCTCACCCCACAACTACCTAAGTTTTTGCCCAACCAAGTGTTTGT